AGGGATTTAGATCCAGCCTACACTCACGACAGTAAGCTTCCAGTCGACACAGGTCAACCTGTAACGCAGCCACATCGGTCTGTGATGATATTTTTGAAAAGATTTTCATATCATCGGCAAAACACAGTAACTTTGATGAGATCAGACACGAATCAATGTCATTTATATAGATGATAAAGAGTAATGGGCCTAGCAAAGAACCCTGCGGGACTCCACTGGGGACAACTTGTCTTAGGATTAAATGATGAGTGACTTCTATTTATTTTATGATACATTTTAGAAAATGCAATAATGTCCAGATGATGCATGCCAATTTCAATTCATAGCAATTCAAGTAATATGTATATTTCTTATACTTACAAATTTTGGAATTTAGATATTATCTTGTATTAGTTTCAAATCTATCTTGTTTTGTTTAAGAAATATTCTTCCATACAATTTGCATGTTTTTTGCATTTGCTCACGCTTCGGGATAGGTAATAAATACTCACAATATTTATTTAAAATATATTTATCATAAAAAAATATAAAAATATTTACATAGGTAGCTACAAAATGTTTGCTCAAGTAACCGATTACATTATAAGGTAGGATAGAAGAGCAATAAGAAGCAAGGAAGAACTTAGAGCGGATGCAGAGGCTCGTTCTATGCGTCCAGCTACTTCTGGGTAAACAGGGCTTCTCAATTTTATAAATTCTGCTGCACAAGTGACCTCATCATAATCAAGTTCAATTTTTGGTAGTTGAGGCAGCATTGAATATCCAAATTCCCCGTTAGCCATAGCAGCTGGCATCAATACTTTGTAGTTTCTGTTATTTTCAATTTCATAAAACAGCGGAACATTGCAATCCCAGCAACGGACAACAGCCCTTTCTAATCTGGATCCTGGTGAGTTTTCCATTCTAAATACTGCGCGTATCCCAGAAAATTGTAAGAAACTATCAGGATCACTTTCGGATACCGAGTGTTCTAGAACATTTTTCAGGATTTGTCCATTCATAGTTACAGCCACAAGGTTACTTTCCAATGGCAAAGCGGCAAGTAAATCGCCTCTTGTTACATCAGCAGGTCTATCGGGAGGCGCGATCATGTGATTTGCGATAGCACCACTGGGAATGACTGCTATTGGAGCATCAGTCCATCTCACACCTTGGTAGTTTACAGCGTAATTGTAGACAATGGCGTCAGCGACTAAGTTTCCAAAGTTACATTCTTCACTAGAGCAAGATTGTCCATCAAGTACGACAGATGTTTGTCCAAGTACTTCATTATTTCTAGGAAGATCAAGAGATAGAGTTTCGAGCAATTGTACATCTTTTGTGGGTTGAGGAATAGAATCGTCCAAGAGGATAGGTTTGGCATTGTACTCTGAAATTTCCCCATTATCATCGAAAGTGACTTTAATACTACCGAGGTATTTATTGTAAGCTGTTGATGGAATAATTGGCACTTGTTTTCCTGATGCCTGTGTCACAACTATAGGTTCATGTTCGTCGGTAACAGTTTGGCCGTTCCAATAGAACGTGTTTTTGTTGCCAGCAATAACCAGATCGATACCAGGAACTTCCTTAGCTATTTCTTGCTCCTTGGCTAAAGTTGAATGACCCAAAGCAATGATTATTTGGACTCCTGAAGCTTGAAGGTTTTTTACTTCGTTTGCCACTGCTATAACTTCATCGATGTATTCAACTTTTCCAAAACTGTCCAAAATGTTATTATTTGGTGTTAAATATCCAACTACTCCAACTTTAACACCTTCCTTATCAAATATGACGGATTTTTCAATTTTAACTTTTCCTTCGGTGGATTTTAATATAACATTGCTAGCCAAAATGGGTGTTTGTATGTTTTCTAAGAATGGCGAGACTTCCAATGTGTTCTTGTCGACGTCATTGTTGCCGAGTGACTGAAATGATAAATGTGTTAAGATTAATGTTAGTAACTAAAAAATAGTGGTTTAACAAAATGTTAGTATGGTTAAAAGTTAGTAAAATAGGAAAGAATATGAACAGGCCTTTCGAGGCTAGAAAGGACAGAAATATTCGACAATATTTCGAATGGAGTAACAAAATTAAAATGAAGCTCAATTACTTGTGGACGCAATCAGTTATTTTTATTAATTCTTTTTTATTGCTATAGTAAGGAACACAAACTAGGAAGTGTTTTAAAGAGATTGGGGTAGGATAAGTATGTATTTTAAGGCAATAATTAATTCCAAAACCATTCCATCACCGAAAGCCAATGTTAAAGTTACACAGACATACACATACATAATTATATATATACATACTTATACGCTAAGTTATTTGTTAGATGTAAGATTACTATAGTCCTAATATTCCAATGCCTCTCAATTATAAGTAGCGTTTATATATCTGTCACTACAAATTCTTGGTGAAAAGACAGAGATGGCACGATATTTAAGTATACCTTAAAATAAGTAGTCTTTCAGTATTCAGCGTAAGAATTGGGTACTTGCCGACTAGTCAAATTCAATACATTTTTCGACTGTCAAAAACGACAGTTTTCTATGAATTTTGTACGTGATTGTGTATTGTGACGTCACGTTTTGTTAGCGTCAAACAGCATATACTTATTTCTTAAAAAGTTGCTGGAAAAATATTAAAATTAACTTGGTCATAGATTCAATAAATGAGAGTGTGATTATTTTTTAATGTTTCATTGTATTGAACAGTCGAAATAATTTATTTTTGATTAAGTGAAGTACCTACCCAATTACTTATATGTTATTTGTTAGTAAAGTTCACGAAGTGCATATTAGTGTTAGTATTAAACTCTTTGGTTTGTTAGTCATATAGAAGAACTATAATTTGAAATACTTACAATTTTACTGCCTTGAACTACTTCAATTTTTTTATTTGTTTGTTTGTTTGATTCCAAAAATGTTTTCTTGTTATAATTTCTATTACTTTAATGGAAAGTATGACATTTTGAAGATTTTTGTTCTTGAAATTTTTCCCAACTAACAAAGAAGATGAAGAAGTATGACAACCATAACATAATGTACCTGTCCATTTTTTGTTCAGACAATACACAGACACACATATACTTTTTACTATATCTGTAAGGAGCATAAAACCAAATTCCACAGTAACTGACAATTTCCGATGCTTGAATTTCAAAAACCCAAAACATTGCCAAATCCGACCTATGGACCCAGGACAATTAAAATACACGACAATTTAAATAAGGAATATGGATGAGTTAAAAAATAAAAACACAAAAATGATTACAAAAATAGCATAAATGATTTTTTTTATTATCTATGGTTTTAGGGACTTTTCGTTTAGAAACATGTCAGCCCCGTAGCATAAATGACAAAAGTTTTCATTATTAGAGATGATATTTTTTAAAAGAAAACGAGACAGAGTTAAATAAAAACTAGTTCTGTCTTTTAGTTATTTTATCCATAACATAACATAACATCACGCCTGTTATCCTCGAAGGGGTAGATAGAGGTGCACATTACAATGTAACACCCACTTTTCACTATTTATGTTATGAGTCCCATGTAATAGGGGGTGAACCTATATACCGGGCACAATTTCAGACTCCGTGCTACTACTGAGATTTTTTTTTTAAAACCCAGTAATACTTTGCCCGACCCGGGAATCGAACCCGAGAGCCCTTGCCCAGCAGTCGTTCTTGCGAGCACTCGCCCAATGAGGCGGTCTGATTTTATCCAAAATCATTGTATTTTGAAAAAGTATATTTATGCAGCAGTGCGGTTCATTTTACAATACTTAAGCACATTTTCGAAGAAATGATTAAGTTTAATGCCATAATATTTTATTAGGCAATCAAAATGATATAACTACTCGTTAAACACAACTAATTAAATAATGCATTTAACCTATGTTGACTTTGTTGCAAAATATTTACATGTTTGATGGCAAAACGTCGTAAACGATGAGATAAGTTACAATAAATTGTATAGGCATGTATTGTCATTTTAGAACTCACGCGTGGATGATATTAACATAACATAACATCACGCCTTTTATTCCCGAAGGGGTAGGCAGAGGTGCATATTACGGCTCTTAATGCCACTATACAATGTTACACCCACTTTTCACTATTTATGTTATGAGTCCCATGTAATAGGGGGCGAGCTTATTGCCATATACCGGGCACAATTCTAGGCTCCGTGCTACTACTGAGATTTTTAAAAACCCAGTAATACTTTGCCCGACCTGGGAATCGAACCCGAGACCCCTTGCCCGGCAGTCACACTTGCGACCACTCGGCTAACGAGGCAGTCTATTATCTATTAAAAACACAATCGTTTTATCTGATTTTTTTTTAATTAAACTACGGTTTGACGGTTTTGTACTCGATTGCTAACAAGTTTACGTTTTTCTCAAATGAGAGTATCTATTGCTTGTTTTAAGTAGTTTTTTCACAGTCGATTATTATATTTACATAGCAGTAATAGGTATGTTTTCAGGACTGCATATTTGTACTTATAATTCCGTCATTACCTTTGGATATAATGTACCTATAATACATTTTGTTTGTATCATCTGTTAAAAAAATAATTTCAATCAAATAATTTCGGAGTACCGGTCTATTGATCTGTACATTAATATCGCATAAACATTTATATAGTTACATCGAAAAAGTTGACGTAAAATCAAAGAGTGACTAGTACATTTCAATTATAAATTTTAGGTTTATCCGTAGGAGTAGTTTTATTAACAAATCTTTCCTAATTTCCTAATTACTATAAGGTATATTTTATTGCGACAAATATGAATGTTTCTATATCAAAACACTTTTTATGTAACCTTTCTTTTTTTCACACAAAATACAGCACATAAGCAATTTGTAGTGTTGTCACAAATAATGGATACCTGTACCGATGGAAATCGACATTCATAAAGCCGGGACATTCACTTCACGGATAAGTGCTTAATTGACTGACGAAAAATCGCGTCTGATTGTATTGGACGAAGAAATTAGGTCATTTGGTACTCACAACAGCATCAGGTTGAAGTGCGTTCACGAACTCGGCAGCGATCTTCCATTTGTAGATGGTGAACCATGCTGTACCGGTGTATGTGTCTCCAGCATTCAGGTACAGGACAGGTGGACCTTCGCCTGATTGAGCCGCTTTTCTTGCTTCCTTCACACTGAAATGTTTGATGTAAAATATAAGTAAACTTGGCAACTTAGGAAGCCCAAAACAGAAGTGTGTGTTGCATTTTTGCTTTTCGTGCCGAAAAGTATTTTTTTTTAAGGGGGGAAAATCATCGAATGATTGCTCCCGCCAGGGCGAGTCGGGAGGGAGTGTCAGACTCTTACTGACTAAAAACCACCCCGTTCCTTCTCCTGCACGTCGAGCCAGAGCCCCGATTACCCGTTAGGTTCTCCCCGAAAAGTACCTATAGGTCGACTGGACTGAATTAATACGTGACCCAAGCAGAATCATTCCATTCAATCAGCCCCAAGTTCTAGTATGACTTGTGGTAGACATAATTAGGGCATAATATGTCCTAATCAGGACACAATATGGACCTTGTTACTGGTTACTCTTTTGATGTTACTTATATTATTGGGCAGCGCCGATTGCTTACCATCAGATGATCGGTTAGCTGCACTACTGGAAACAACTGGACTACTTACACATGAGCAACTCTAGGAAAACCTCCATAGCATTTTCCTGCCTCCCTGTCAGCAGTTGTGCAGGTGCCTCCTTGCTGTGATGTCTGTTCGAAGCGGGCATGCATGTCATTGTTGTGAAGGATGAGGAGCTCGAAGGTGTCTCCCGGTGTCTTCACCACGCTAGCCGAAGACAAGGCTGCTATCGCCAGAACTGCTGCTGTTAGGACCTTCTGTAATGCAAAATGGTGATATTTTAAAACGGATAGCCGGTAAAAAATCAATTGTCAACATTTAAATTCAAATCCGTTATTTTAGATAGAATAAGCACTTTTCAGAATTAAACGATTTGGTATTGTTGTTTTTGTAAAAAGGTTACATTTTTCAACTCCATAAGTGTGATTTTGATTTGATTTTAAGGCAGCATTTAGTAGGATTACTTAGTTTCAAAGTTTTAGAAAACATTAAAACAATACCAATTGGTTAAGTATTTTGCCACTGTCCAATGTAACACCCACTTTTCACTATTTATGTTATGAGTCCCATGTAATAGGGGGTGAGCTTATTGCCATATTCCGGGCACAATTCCAGACTCCGTGCTACTACTGAGAAATTTCGTAAAAACCCAGTAATACTTTGCCCGACCCGGGAATCGAATCCGAGACCCCTTGCCGGACAGTCGCACTTGCGACCACTCGGCCAACGAGTCTATCTAATTTAGTTACAATAAGTCCTAAATCTTTATACAATATCTACATTAAAACGATAGCGTGCTCTTTAATGATATTTAACTCTTAACAATACGTTTCATATACCAGGTATAAATGTGTAGTCTACATGGTTATTTGAAGGCCCGTAATTAATGACAATTTGACATGCTGTCTGATGCAACACAGCGCTTGTTAAAACGAATGGAATGAAGCCATCGAATCGAATTTGACTTTTAATGATTACATTGAAATCTGTTTTATTGAAAGGAAGATAATGAACAATTCTTTGTTTATTTTGAATTCGGATTATTGTTTTGTTTTTGTTTGAAAAAAAGGAACAATAAGATCTTAGTTTGCTAAAACGGCTGTTCCCTTGCTTCCTTCTTAGATTTTGTCTCTAGAGAATGAGAAGAATGTACCTATTTTTAGGAAACCAGTTATAAAATACAGAATCTCAAAATGAGTCAACGACTTGTCAAGAGATCAACAAATGAGTCAATTGTAATAAAGTATTTGTAATTATAAAATAGATGACTGACTGTAATAAACGAACATGCATTTAAAATGTACGTATCTATGCAATTAGGCCGCTGAGAACCTAACGGGTTACCGGGGCTCCGGCTCGAAGTGCAGGAGTAGGAACGGGGTGGTTTTTAGTCAGTAAGAGTCTGACACTCCCTCCCGCCTTACCCAGGCGGGAGAAGACATTCGAAGATTTACCCCTCTTAAAAAAATCTATGCAATTGGTAAGTTTCCAAAACTGATTTCCATTGCATTTAAATTTATTACATCAAAAATATATCCAGAATCCCCAACGATCCTCAAACTCCTAATCCCCAAAAGACCGGTGACGCACTCGCCTCTGGTGTTCCAGGTGTCCATGGGCGACGCTGATTGCTCACCACCAGGTAATCCGTCTGCTCGTTTACCGGCTTATGCCATAAAAAACAATATTGTTTTTTTTTGTTTTATTTCTTTTCTTATAATATCTTCTGATTCACTTCGTTGCGGGAACCAAGACAGTTATTCATGTCTCTGGGGCGAGCCAGACTTCAGTGTTCCGGTGTTTTCATGGTTGTATCTACTGTAGATCCTGGCTTACAGTAGTTTTAGAGGTTTTGGGAGGTTGTGGCGAGCTTGTCCCATTAAACAAAACAATATTAATTCAAAATCCCTAGATTCATCTGGGTTTTTGACGTCCTACTAATCTTATCTTATACTATTATATACGCGGAAGAGTTTGTTTTTTTGTTTGTTTATTTGAACGCGCTAATCTCCGTAACTACAAGTCTGATTTGAATAATTCTTTTTGTGGCTATAAAACATAACGCTACGACCAATAGGAGCTGAGTAGAGCGAGTGACACCGCGCGGAAGTAGCTAGTATTATAATAAATGGGACTGTTTGTATGTTTCTTTGTTTGTTACTCCTTCAAGTTAAAACGGCTGAAGGGATGGCGATGAAATCTAGAACGGGTTTTAAGGTGAGCTAACGATAACAGGAATTCCCATATGATAGGGGTTGAGTCTATTTCCAGGGTACCAGGTATAAAACTGCGAAAATATCCGGAAATATATTATATGGGACTCATAATAACATAAATCCGTATGTGGACCCGGGTACGTCCTAAAACTGCGACCGGACACCGAGGAAGGGGGTGCTGCATTCCATAAATACATCGGTAACCTAACTGCAATCCCCAAGCCGCCTGTCAAACGTGGGTATTATGGCACCCCCCCCCCCCTCCTAAGGGGAGGCCTTTTTCCAGCAGTGGGCGTCTTCCGGCTGTTGATGATAATGATGATAAAATAAATAATGAAAAGTGGGTGTTATAAGTGGCATCAAGTGCCGTAATGTGCACCTCTGCCTACCCCTTCGGGGATTAAAGGCGTGACATTATGGTATGTTATGTTACTACTTACAACTTATCAAATACGTATCTGTGTAATGATATTGCGAATTCTAGTTAATTGAACCTATGTTCAGTGTATTAGACTTGACTGACAGATTACTATTAGTATTCACATAAGCCAATAATTACAGGACCGGTTATGTCTAAATCTGTACCTAAATACAACGTATCTAATCATAGTCTATGTAATAATTATACGCGTTTGTGAACACACGGCCACACATCAATCTATACAAAACCAGTTTAACCTGGTGTCGCGTCGCATCATCTTTCCGCAGATTTAACGTTCAGTTTATACTGGTTATGTAAAGCTCGATGTGTAGCCGTATGTACAATGTACCTACATTGAAATGTTGTACTAAGCAGTTCTTTGTTGTTATTTTAGTCATTGGTTTTGTTTCAAGTAAGCACAAAGTTATTCTGTAAATCGTTTAATTATTTTCTTTTAGCATACATACTTTTCATTTAGATTGTATTATTTACTAGCGACCCGCCCCGGCTTCGCACCGGTGCAATATGCATGTATTATAATATAAACCGTCCTTAAGAATCACTCTATCTATTAAAAAAACCGCATCAAATTCGATGCGTATTTTTAAAGATCTAAGCATACATAGGGACAGACGGCTGATAGCGACTTTGTTTTATACTATGTAGTGATCTACTTCAATGTTATATTTGACTTTGGTATTTCCTTTGTAAATGGTATACACCGGTAAACGAGCAGACTGATCACCTGATGGTAAGCAATCGGCGTCGCCCATGGACACTGTTGGAACACCAAGGGCGTTATTGGCCTTTTGGAATTAGGAATTTAAGGATAGTTGGGGATTCAGGGATTGGGAGAGGGAGGAGGGGTAATTGGGCCTCCGCTAATCTCACTCACACGACGAAATACAACGCAATGGCTTCACGTCGGTGTTCTGCGAGGCCGTGGTATCACTCCGGTAGAGCCGGCCCATAGCTCTCCCACACTTACAAGTTTGTCAATATAATATTTATGTAACACGTTCAAACTAGGCAGTTTTAAAATACCAAATCAAAATAAAGATACGTACAAATTGGTATGAATAGATGGCTACTTGATTCCACACCATCACACGAGCAGCTAATTTAAAAAGCAAAATTTTACCCTCTGAATAATTTCACAAATGAGAGTACTATTCACTCTGATTGCGAAGCTTTCCTCTCATATTCGACGAGCGTTCATTGCACTACATGATAGTGATATAGACATATTTTTGTGTGCGTTTTATCGACGGACGCACGCAGTTATCCGGTTTTGTTTGGGCGGGGTTGTTACCAAGCGTGATCTATATGAACATATATGTGCATATATGCATCCGTAGTAGCGGTAGAGTGGAATATATGTATATGTGTCGGGTGGGGACTGTAACAGAGATAAGGCAGTAGCTCTCTTTTATCATCATCATCATCATCAACAGCCTATAAATGTCCACTGATGAGCAAAGCCTCTTTTCACACGGAGAAGGTTTGAGCATTAATCACTACGCTTCCTCAATGCGGGTTGGCGATTACAAACTTATAATTAGAAATTATAAGCCCAGGTTTCCTCACGATGTTTTTCCTTCACCGTTTGTCAGTGGTGTCTAGATAATCTTAGAAAGTAGGTACATATAACTCGGAAAAAGTTATAATGGTACTTGCCGTTGGTGTGTTTCGAACCCACACTCTCTTGCAGGAGAGGTGGGCCACCGCGATATTCTCTTCTTTTTTCTTTGGTAGACCTACTTTAAACTTTGATTTGCAATTCGACTGCCAAGTAAGCAGATTATGGTAAACCTTTTTTTTTTGTAGAGGAGGCCTTATAGACCAGCATTAGACTGTTTTGATCTCTTAATCTGTGTACATACAAATATATTACCTATGTATATTGATAGTTTATCCGCACACTATTGTAGCTAATCAATGTAGGTATAGTTTGCATAGTTCTAAGCTAGCGAAGATCTTGATTCAGTCTTGTGTCTATTGTCATTAGGTTTTAATTGCTTCGTTGATTGAGATGTTGTAACAATTAGCAGTGTCAATGACCGTGTAAGTATTGGCGTTTGGGTTCTCAGTAAACACTAACATGGGTAAAGATTATATGATTGTGATCTGTGATAGCAAAAAAAATGTTCTACTAAAGTCATCCTTACTAATATTATAAATCGGAAAGTGAGTTTGTTTGTTTGTTTGTTCCGCTTTCACGCCGTAACTACTAAACCGATTGCTTTGAATTTTTGCAGACGTAAAGTTAAAAGTCCGGATTAAATAATAGAGTACTTTTTATGCCGGAAATATTTGATATTCCCGAGGGAAAACAAAAGTATTGGTATAGATGGCGCTGTGTGTATTAGTATATGTCACATAGGCTACTTTTTATCGTTTTGTGACGCGAGCGATGCTGCGGGTAAAAGCTAGATAGAGATAAAGGGTTAAAACCAGTTAAAGCCAGATTGTAACCAGTTTATAAAGACTTTGCAAGAGCAATATCACAATCACAGATGACACTTCAATTCTGTATAATGACTTCTAATAATCCTTTATAAGCAGGAACTGTGTTATGCAATAGTTACGTGAGATACATTGCCGGCTGTGTCGTCACGTA